CACTTTGAATAGGCAAGCAAACAGTATCCCAAGCAACTCGACATTTACCCATCTGACCCTCAGTTTTATTCCATAAAAAATTACGAAATAGCTGCTCAATTTCATGGATTGTGGTCGCGGGTACCAGAAATACCGACATCCAATAAGTTTGCATTGAGTGGAGCACTGAGATAATTAGTTGTCGACGCCCTCCATAGGAAAGGAATTTATTCTTCCAGTTTAAAAGTCGAGATTTAAGCTTTAACACAAGGGGATTAAAATCACGTACCTTCAGACGGACCGGAGAGAGAGGAACTCCCAAGTAACGTATAGGGAAAACCCCTGGCCGAAAAGATAAGGTATCCCATATAAGAGTTTTGACCTTCATTGCTATATTCCCGAAAAACACCTCACTCTTCTCCAAACTTGGCGACAAACCCGATCGTTCTTCAAACAAGAGAAGGCCACGTTTAATGACTTCCACTGAAATAATGTCCCCCTTTGAGAAGATAAACAAATCATCAGCAAAGCATAGATGAGTCAGCTGTATATCCGCACAACCTTGATGATAAGAAAAATTTGCCTCCTCCTCAATACACTTCGAAAGAAGCATCGAGAGACCCTCCATAACAATAGTAAACAGATAAGGGGAAAGAGGGTCTCCTTGAGAAGGCCCCGTTTACCATGAAAAAAACCCTCCGGCTGTCCATTAACACAAACAGAATACGTGGGAGTAGATATCAGAGTCTTTATCCAGTTAATCATGACTGGATGAAAACCCATGCCCTTCAGCATCTCCAAAAGAAACTGCCAATCAACGGTGTCATAGGCCTTTCGAATATCAATCTTAAAAGCACATTTTGGTTCCCCTTCAGAACGCTGATATCCAGCAACCAGCTCATGCGCCATTAAGATATTATCAGTTATTTGGCACCCAGGAATGAAAGCAGATTGAGCCTTGCTAACAAGAACATCCAGCGATCCTTTCATCCGATCAGCAATAACCTTACTAATACACTTCAACAACACATTACAACATGCAATTGGCCGATAATCAGTAACACTAGATGCATTAGGAACCTTTGGAACAAGGCAAAGAAGAGTATGGTTCAGCTGATACTCCAAAGTTCCTGAATAGAAGAAATTATGTATCCCAGTGAGAACATCCCGACCAACCACATTCCAAGATGCTTTAAAGAATTTAGAAGAATACCCATCAGGTCCTGGAGCCTTATCATTCCCAATGGCAAACAAAGCATCCTTTATCTCCATATCCGAGATATGACGGATTAAGTGCAGAGAATCTGATAACGATAAAGAATGATCAAACACACAATCCCCCATAGATGGAGGAACCAAKACATTAGAGGTACCAAGAATACCTTGAAAATGGGAAAGGAATGCAGCGGGCACCTCCTGATGATCATAAACTGTGCCAGAAGAATCCCTGATAGAGGCAATATGGCTCCGATTGCGCTTTTCTTTCATAGCATGAAAAAAGAATTTACATTTAGCCAAGAGATCTTCGCTTTTTGACGAGCCATTTCCACTTGATCACTTCTAGCTTTTTGATATGCTAACAAGAGGTGAGCAATGTCCTCCTTTAGCATATCATTAAAAGGGTCTAGATCACAAGCTAATTGGGCGACATCAAGCTCCGTCTTTAACTGACCTACCCGTTTATCCAAACAACCATACGAATTCCGGAGACGCCGACAAACCACCTTCAGAGCTTGCAATTTCCGAAGGACCCTCTTCATATAAGATCCTCTCTGCGGTTTCTTCCAAACCACCTCCACAGAAGCAAGGAAATCAATATGAGATGTCACAAAATTATCAAACTTAAAACCCCGCTGGCGAAGACGTCTACCAACTTTAAAAGTAAGAATACCCGGAGAGTGATCAGAAATTCCCCTCGGATCAAAAAAGACTGAAGCATCCCCAAATCTAGTAATAAAAGCAGAATCTCCCAAGATTCGATCCAGTTTGCGCATAATACCATCACCCCCCGAAGGTTTCTGTATCCAAGTAAATTGGCATCCTTGATACGAAATGTCAAACAATTCCGCCTCTTCCAGACAGAGATAAAACTCTTCCATGTCAGAATTTCTCCTAGAGGAACCCCCTAATCCATCATGGGGAAAAAGCATTGAATTAAAATCACCCATTGCGACCCAAGCTTTCCTTTGATTAAACACATGGAATTCACCAAACGCCCGCCAAAGCTCACGCCTATCCACACCCGTATAGACTAAGGTAATAAAAATAGGATCAAGTTGCCCAAAAATCCTAATCTCACAGTGGACATATTGTTGGTGCTGCTCAATCATAAGAACTGACAACACTGTTGGATCCCAAGCAATAATAATACGAGTACCTTGATCACACAAGCTCCCATTCGAGATCCAACTCCAATTTCCAAACACTTTACCACAGACATCCCCCAAATGACTATGTATGACTTTGGACTCAACGATACAACATAAAGACATATGCTTTAAATATATAAGATCACGTACCTCCTTTTGCTTTATTAGGGAATTAAGACCCCTAATATTCCACGAAGCAATCTTTATCATTGAGAGGTTGAAGTGGATCTTGCCCCTTTACTATAATCAAAAGAGTGCCCCTCAGTGTCTATTATTTCCATATCATCATCATCACTGGAGTCAGAAGGTAGAGGGGAAAATCTATTACTCGTAGATGTAATAGAAACTGCACCATGTCTTGGTTTCATCGCTTTAAGCACTCCTTTTACAAGTTCTGGACCCCGCTTTGATCGAAATGTCACATTCGCTTCATCATCTCTTCCTCTTGGCGTTCTCCCAGCATCCACCGTACAATATTGACTTTCATCATGATCCTTACGTTCCCCAATTGATGGATCAGAATCAACCACCTGAACTGCTTCCTTATCCTTTTGAGTAACACCCAAAGTAGACGGTTTATCAGAAATCGGCTTAAGAGTACCAACTCCCACCAATGTTTCGCGCAAATTAGAAGGATCTCCTGACGAAGTGGCCTGAGCACCATTACTAGGTCCTGAACTCTGTTTCGGTCTCCATTGTTTACTCCTTTTCTCTATAAACCCATCATTATGCAACGGCTTGACAATCTCCTTTTGTTTAAGAGTACCCCCTTTCTGACAGGAATTCGTATTATGGCCAAAAACCTTACATTTCGAACATTGAGACGGCACCCAGTCATATTCCAAAACCACCTTTATCACATCTTCACCATCACCCGACAACTTAGGAATGACAACTTCAATTTGCTTCTGAATTGTACCTACGGCCCAGACATCTACCAAAACTTTTGCAAAGTTAATTATTATTTTTCTTAAAATGAAAATCCGTAAACATAAATTTAGGGGTTTTCATACAAAGTTTTGTATTCTACTTGTTTTAATGATTAAATTAAGTTTAGAGAAAAGATTAAATACAATATTTTTGCTTGTTTTTGTAATATAATTGCGACATTGTTGTCTTCTAATTAAAATCATGGAAATAAAAGGTTATTTTCATGATTTCTACGAGAAATTAATGAATTATTAAATTCATGAGTGTTATAAATGTCTTTGATTCAATATTATTATTTTTTGTTTTATAATAATTCAATATTTTAATACAAATGATTTTTTTTATTAACCTAGATATCCAACCCGTTATATAAAACGACTAATACTAGGACGACCAACCGTTTTGAGGGTAGCCTGAAGTCACCGCATTTGAATCTCCATGGCTGGAAGAAGATTTTTATCCCTTCTTAAATTCGAACCTGAAACCTCGAGACATTTTTAACCTTTAAAATTCAAGCTCAAACCAATTGAGTATCACCCTTGTTTATTGTGTATACATATTTGATTTTAAATTTATTAGGAAAATGGTATAAATAAAACTGTGTTACACCAAAAATTTGATATGGACTAAATTGCATTTTCGGACCTTTTGGTTTGTCGATTTTCTTGAATTGGTCTTTTTATTTTTGTCTTTCAAAATCCTTGTGTTTTTAAAAATGTTTGCTTTTCGTCTCTTCTACTAATCAAGGACTCAAGGTTAATCAAATTGTGCCTTTCACATGAGGGTAAAATGGTAATCTTTCTGTTTTCTTCACCCTTTTTGACCTTCTTCACCTCACATCTTTCTTCCTTCCTCACCTCTATGTCTCTCCTCCACTACCATCCAACACAATCTCTTCTGAAAATATGAATAAAAATATTGGTATGATAAAGGGTCTGAAATGTGACATTTTCTCCGCCTCCAAAGCTTTGAAATCTCGTTGGTTCTCCGGTACTACCAAAACATCATCGTCTAGCTTGATTTAGAGCTCTTGATGATGCAAAACACCAGATTCTTTATACGAAACATGAGGGAAGTGGGTAATCGGTTTTGAACAGTAAATAAGTATTGCTATTGAGACTGAAATGTGGAATGGTATATATAGTAAGGGGGTGATTCGGATTGTAATTAGACACGGTGGATGACATGATAACAAATGGAATTTCAAGAAGGATGGATGCAAGGATATCAATGAGGCTTGCAGGATTGATTTTGATTTGAACTTGTGAAATGAAATTGATGTATAAGCGTCTAATTTTAATTTTTACCTTTAAGGCCATAAAAAATGACATTCTTTTCCCCGATCAAGATTTCTTTTGATCTAATATTCCATTTAGGATTCGTTAAATGATATTTTGTTTCTCTGATGAAAAGATTTCTATAACAATGTAGACGGAGGGCTGTTTGGTTCATGGATTTGGATGGAATTAGAAGAAATTGGAATGGTCAAATCCTTTGACCAAATTCCAAATACAATGTTTAGTTTATGAAATAAAACTGATGAAATCCTTTCAATTCCAATAAATTCCTTCACTCACAGATTTTACAATTCCATGGCAATACCCTCAGATTTCAATTCCTTTCCGACAAATTTCATCCCTAATCCAAATTCATTCAACGACGTCTACCATCTCATCTAATCGATCTCTGGTTTGATCTCCAATCTGGTACGTTCTCTCTCTCTCTCTCTCTCTCTCTCTATCTCTCGTTATTTCTCCATCTATCACGATATAGATAGACAACATATGTAATCAAGAAATCGATTCAAGATAACTAGCTATTGATATTACTAGTCCCACTCCATATGTCGATAATTCTTAAAATCGAACCCCAATTGAATGGAATTAGGGCACCGATCACTTCTATAAAAAAATTCCATTGTAAATGGATTGTTGCATTTGAAGCTATCACTAATATGTATGCTCATTTGTAGCAGCATAGGATAGATGGTGGCTGTACAAAATGATCAACATACTTGTATTTTGGCCATGGATTGCCACAGTTGTCTATAGCATTTTATTACATTAATGGAACCATTTTGTATTTTGGTTTTTAATTTCGGTCAATCTGATTATGGGTGTTGATGGTTGATATAGTTGGATTGAAGTTCAACAAATTGGGCAGATAAGTTGGTCACTATTTGGTTATAGAGATGATAATTCCATTTGGTGGATGTTGCTATGGCCTTTGGCCAAATTGGAAAAATCCTTCTGTTTTCTTACATGTTGATCATATTATGCTTCTAACCATGCTTCTGGATTAGCTTTGTAATTTTGTCAAGATTTGGTTTGGATATCTGTTTTCTCAATTTGCCAAAGTACTGCATTTATGTGGCATTCTTGCTGGCTGAAATAGGACTATTGCCAAAGAATTTATTGGATTGATCACTTAATTATTCATATCTGTATGTTTCCTCAACCGATCAACTTGAATCATCTTGTTGGCTTCAATTACTTTTATTGTTACAAACGATAATCTTATTCCGTTTTATGTTTTATCACAAGCAAACAAATCTCTGTCACTTGATTCTCCCGTATCATTTAGAACCCTCCCAATTCTAGAATCTTTATCTTGCTTTTCTTTTCAATCACATTTTTTTTTCTTTTTTTTTCTTTTTTCTTTCTTGTACCTCAATTCACAACTTCAAAATCATTTGCTTCTTCATATGCAAGGTTAGTTTTGATTTCTTCCATCTTAATTAGCTTTTCAGCTACTTTTCTTTCGGTTTCTTGATTTCATTCTCAATCTTTGTGTAGATCTATGTTCAAAATGTTGTAATCTTGCAATTCTAGATCGACTTGCTTACCGACCTAATCAAAAACCAGTATTCATAATGGATCAAATCCTCTGTATGTACGTTGGTTTTAGTTAGAGAAATTGGTAAAAGGAAGTGTGGAATTTGTATCTAATCAATTGAAATTTGTTGATTTGAGAAGTGTGCTAACTTTTTGGTACTTGGTTAGTGTTTGAGCTTTTGAAGTTTGATAGACATAGATATTGTTGGGGTTTAAAGTTGTGCTTTAAATGTTGTATTCAAGCAAGTTTCTCCTATTTTGTAATAGCTTAGCCTTTAATGCTTTCTAGTATAAATAGTTTACTTGCCTTGTAATTAGTGTAGATTTGTCATTAGAGGGAATCATTGTGTAATCATTGAAGATTTAATACAAAATCATTTGGGTTGAAATTCTCTCTACTTTGTTCATTATTTTCTTACAAGATTTATCTGATTTGGTGATAATTTGGGACAAACAATTGGGATCAAAGTTGAATGTGTAGAGATTTGATTAAAGAATTGCACAAATTTCATGGATTTTTTACACATTTTAGGGAATTCATACTGTTCTTAAGACTATTCTTGATATTTATACTGTTCTTGAGCATTCATCGTCTGTTTTCATCAAATTCATATCAAATCCCATTCATTTTTGCAAATTAAGTGTTAAAATTTGGATCACTATGTGCGAATTGATGATCTGAATCCTTGTTGTTCATACTTTTTCGTGATTTGATCAATAATTTTTAAGATTTGAAGGGCTTTTGATAGATTTCGAAAACTTTATGTTCTTGAAAAACTCATAAAATTTAGAGTTTTTGATCCATTTTGGTTGAATTTTCAAGAAAGTTTGTGTTTTTGATTGAAGAATCTGGTTATAGTAGTGTCCGTATTTGAACATATCCATATATTACATTGTCCGTATTTGAATTTGTGTGGTGATTATAAGTGAATTTGCTTGATATCTGTTCATTGTATTGATCGTATTGTTTGTAATCCATTCAACTCTTTGTGCGGATTAGTTGTTATCGGGGTGAACCATTGTCCGTACTTGTTATTATCCGGATATTTCATCATCCGGATTTGATTGGAAATTTTATCAAGTGTTTAGTGTTAACCTTGTTGATCGTATTACTTGTTGACCGGATTATTTATTGATCGGATTGTGCTTTGACTGTACTAAGCTTTGATCGATTAAATATTTGTGTTGACAATATTTGAGTCTTTGACCGGATTTGACTTGTTGATTTTTATTGACTGTATTGAGATTTGACTGTATTGAGTTTTGACTGTATTCATTGGTTGACTGATTTGATTATTGATCGTATTCATTTGACCGTATTTGATTACTTGTTGATTTTTGTTAAGTTCTCTTAAGTGTCCGAAGACCTTATCCGGATATATCTTGTTCGTATTCATCCTTAGTGATAATTGCATCTTTGTTGTCCGGACTTCCAATCCGGATAGA